ACCGTATCCTGTCCAGCGTTTCTTTCATCGACCGATAGGTAAATCTGATTGAATTAATAACGATTTAACGTGCCCCGATAATTTTACACAGAATTTCATCACGAATCTATAATTATTCGCCTCGATTGTTCCTTTCGCGATAGGAACATTTTCTCCGTGGCTCAGCAGCAGATCGACCAGATTAATGGGACATAACTGAACACGGCGCACGAGTTCGGAGATGCATAATTTTCTCTTAATTTTCCCCATGAGAGGAGAAGTTAAACGCGACAAAAATATCCCTTTTTCTTAATTAATTTCAGTACTCACCAAATTATGAAAGTCGTAGATGCATTATTATAATCAGTAGAAAATACTACGTAAATTGGCGACTATCTAATTAATTAGACAATTGAACATTCTAAGCATGCATGTTATTAAATTAAACAAACAATGATGCACTCACTCGGATTTCGTTGTATCTCGTGATAGAGGACGGTCAATATTTCTCTAGGCTGTAAGTGGTCTGTCAGTCCATCAGTGGCGAGAACGAGGAAATCCTCCGTCCCATCTAAGAGCACGGTTCGAATTTCAGGTTCTCCTGTGACGAACGGCTTGTACCGAACATCACCTGAAATCAGATTGTTCAATTGGAGAATGCGAGCCTGAAAAACAGACGACGTTTCGCGTGCACTATTCTAATATCTCATTCCATTCCACATGTGTTCATGTTTGTTTAATCGTTAACTGTACGTTTCATTCATGGGTAGAGTAAACCGATGGAAAGAACCGCACATAAATTTCTAATAACCGGAAGCGTATATGTTGTGCGCTGGTGCCATTATTTAAATTAGCTACGCCATTCATTAAATAGATAATTAAAGTTAATTACGATGTACTTGAATACTGATACAGTACTCCCTACGCTTCACGTCGCGTGTTTCTCAGATGTAAAAAGCATCGCTTACACGTAATAGATAACTGTAACAGTTATCTTGAATTCCAGAAAATCGCACGTCACGGCAAATGAAACTCTCCATCCCCCCTGGTTTTTATTCAAGCATCGTCAATTTTCATTTTCCAACAAATCATAAATTCTATACTCTACCCTTAAACTCTAAACGTATTATTTAGCGTATATATAAATTATTTATCAAAATCATTGATGGCTCTATTTTAAAACATGATTTTTTAAAGAAATATTACTCATTAGAAAATACATAGAAATAAAAGAGGCAAGATACGTAGATTTACCCTGTTTAGTGGAGAAAAAGGTCGAAAATCGTGTTAACACTTTCTTCGACTTTGTATCTTGAACAGAAGATCTAATTTTCGCAAACGCACATGCGATGCGCTCGTTAATCATCATAAACGCGCGACAAAGAGAAATCGAAAATGAACCCTCCTTTCTTTTAGTGTGTTGAACCGAGGAGACTGCGTGATAGAGTAATTACAATGATGCTATCAGCCCGTGACCCGTTTGATAAACCACACATACCGTAAAAATCTATTCTTTCAAGCTGTGATTTACATTTCAAACTATCAAATTAACTTAAGGTATTTCATCTAAGACTATTGTCCGGAGGTTCATTTTCTCAATTGGCGAATGTTTTATTTGCCATAAAAGTTTACGACACTGAAATTTCATACACGATTTAAAGCAATCATAAAAACGTGGTGCGCATCGATTAAAGAAATTTCCCGATCCATTAAGACCGGAGAAATACAAGAAGACGACAGAGTACGCGATGCAAACGGCTTAATGGACTGTTAATTATTCCGGGCGTGTAATCGTAGGAATCACCCAGTAAAGCGACCATTGCTCGAGCATGATTGCACGTACTATTGTGTCACCGGTCAAACGGAACCAACAGGATATCGGACACGCGTCCAGAATTTTTTCTTTCCATTTATTCGCGGATATCTAAGCCATAGTTGGCCAGCTGTTAGCACATACAAGCCGACTGACCCTACTTGGCTTCAGCGCAAAACTTCCATCATGTTTTACCCAGTAAAACTAATATTCATTCCATAATGGAAGTTATTATAATCAATAAATGTAAAGCACAGAGCGTTGGTTAAATGAAATCAGAGTTCTTACGTGAATTTCAAGTATACAAATACACCTCACAGTTTACTATAAATTGCATACAAGAATTTCAGAAAGGAAATATCTCATTCGTATGGCACCTTTGCAGATTGTAATCTTATAGTCATAAGAATCATACCTTCTAAGAAACTTTGAGAATTCTTTGCAACAGTTGCACTCAGAGAATATTCTCAAACTTCGTGTACTACAATTACGTACATAGAACCATTATAGATTAAACAAATATACTCAGAGGATCAATTTAGACACGTTTTATTCATAAATGAACACTCGATCATAAATGAACTTTCAGAAGTTCCATAGACATTTCGAAACCAACTGGTGCGCATGTGTTAATCTGAATTGATCGAAAGGATACACGCATTGCCATCTAACGGCACCGAACTTTCATAACAGCAGCAGCAGCAACAGTGAAATGTGCACAGTGTAACTCTTTACGAAGGAGATAGAACGTCAAGAGATCGAGACTAATATTGATTGTGCTTGTATTAACGTGATTCAGCTGATACGAATCGTCGAACGTGAGTACCAAATGTAAAATTAAATAAGAAGATAGAAAATTCGATCTAATAAACGAGGCACACCCACGTCTCGTAAATGCGTAATTTCTCTGTTCTCCAAAATATTCTGTCTACGTAAAATGAAACAGCTAATCTAAGATTTTTATACAAGATATGAACATAAATCGATAGAGATTTATCTTGTGTATGTTGGTTAATTTTTTATCATTCTGTTATGAAATGTCAAAGTGATTGTGTAACGATTCTTATGCGTATTATCATTACATTCTACTCTGTTCCTTTTATAGCGCGTTCTTCTATATGAAATCATGTTTAGAATATACGTATTTGACCTGAGCATACGTTTTTGTATGAATTTTTAAGTGATTATAAAGAATTGTTTAGTTCTATGGTAAAATATAAATAGATCAGTAAATGAAAGTGAATCTATTTATGACAAAAATTATTTCGATGTCTGCGTATGATACATAGTTTAGTATGATCATTTGTGATATGTGGCTGAAATAAAGGCATTATTTCAATGTACTTACCTATTGCTCTTGAAACACTTAAGAACCCATTAACTCGCATGATTCCCATACTTTGCATCACTACTCCCCCAGTTTTTCGTATTCTTTGCACCTCGTCCTAAAACGAAATCATTACACGTTATTTAGAACACATTATACATGTAACTGATGTAACAGCAATTGTTTTTAACTAACACAAACAGAACCTAATCCAAATTTTCTGTCAAAAGAGGATGACTATTTGTCTGATCCTTATTATACTCTCGATCGCGATAAATTGTATACTGCAAAATGACAGAGCTAGGAACACAGATAGATAGCGACAAAAGGTTGCTACTATTCGCAACGTATAAAGATTATTTGGATTCCTTGGTGACATTCGTCGATCTCGGATACTTAGGAAATCTGAATGTAGCGCGTCAATTAGCTAAGCTCGGGTATCGTTGCACCGGTGAAACACTTGACAAGGAGACGTTTTACCGTCGTTTGAAAGCCGTGAGAGATTTACTATTTCCGATTTATAAACCGTACGTGCTAACGTCGGAACACGTGGAACCGAAGGGTACCGTGATGGAAGAATTAGCCCTCCGCGAGCTTTACAATAGATTAAAGATTATATCAACCATAATATTCATAAGAAACGTGCGGAAATTACAGTTCGAGGTCTCCGGTTATATCGACTTTAGCGAGAGACTCGAGAAAGAAGATTGGCTACCGTATTTCAAAGGAACGAAAAAAATATGGCCGGGTGCGAACGATCTAGCGTATTATCATTGGAGAACGGGGAAAACGTGTTTAAACGAAACGTCGAATTATCAACCGATCATAGACCCGAAATTAGGCCTGCGTTTCAAACATAATATCGATAGGCACTTCATCAATGTCGACCCCGGGGCACCGTCGCCCGGCATATACTCGACGCGAATAAGAGTGCATAGTCAAGAATACCAGCACATAATACTATACGATCACGTTCTCCGAAGTACGAGTTGAACAAGGCAAAATATAAACTTACTTCGCGATGCAGTCGATGGGGATTCACTAGCTGAACGATGCTGTCGCGTTTTATCAACGTAGCTGTAGAGTCTCCGACCCACGCAACGTATAACTTCTTATTTAGTATTAAAGTGCAAACTGCAGTCGTTCCACCGCATATTTTCTAAAAGAACAATAAAATGATTAAATATAAAAAGTAAATACGGAATTTTATGTATTACCATATAGAAATTTTCGTTTCTTACTTGCGTTTTCGACTTTTCTATGAAGTGTGCATCGGTAGTGAGGAAAGCATCGTGTAAGGCACGCTCCGGATCAGTAGGATAATATGTGCTTTCTGCTAGATACTGGTGCAGATGAGTAGCACAATAGACGGCCGCGTCTTGTCCCGCGTGTCCGTCAAACACTGCATAGTAATTCGCTATAGAGTGATCCTACAATTTACAGCACAATCAATATCGCCGTAAATGATCAAATGCTATCATACGCAAATAGAAAATAAATTTAGGAATAATATTTACCTCTATACCAAATATAGTATGTAAATCGTGTACGACCACGTAGCGATCTTCCATTTTTCGTCTACAATTCTTGCTACCACCAGCCGCAACTTCTGGTGACGGTGTCGAGAAAGGAGGCGGTAATAACGCCAGTCTACTATTGTCCAAATAGCGAGTACATATTTCATTTACTTTACTAGTAATCGCTTGCATTAATTTCAACGATGTGTACACTGCGAAATAAAAACCAACGTAAAAGCCTCTCATTATTAAACAGAATTAAAAAATGCATTTTTATTAAAAGAAATAGACTCACCTTTTTCTTGTGCTCTGAATCCACAGTCCTCTGGTTGCTTCTTGCACATGGATTTGATTTCTTGTATCACTTGGTGAACCAAGTGCGCTTGTAAACTTGGCGGACATTGTCTAGAATGTAACGCAAATCTCTTTACACATATGTATATAATATTCGCGAAATTCACAATAAAATCGATTCCATTATACTTTAAAGATTAATCATTCATTTAAAAAGAAAAACGAACAAACAAATTTCACGGTGCATTTACAACTCTGAACACAGAAAGTATAAAGATAATTGAAGCAGCGACTTGGTATGTCAGTGATAAATATACGAGAGATTTGCAAAATTCGAAGGTTCACTTTCCATAATAAAAATTACATTATCGTATATAGACAAAGTCATGGACTTTTCGTTGAAAAACTCTTTAAATCGTAAGCATACGTATCTTATAATTTACAATATAATTTAAACACGATTTAGAAATAACCTACGGAAACTTTTAATTTTGCTTAACAAATAAAAATTATCATTGAGGCCTTGTTTTAAATTCCATGTACAAATATATTATCGTTGAGCACAAGCGAAATGCACTTCCTACTGACCTGACGTCTGTACACACAACATGCTCTCGTATCTTATCTAGTAAACGTACCGCGATTAAACGCATCATTTAATTTCATTCACTCCAGAATTATACGTATATATTTTCCTCCCAACCAGTGAAGATGAAATCATAAATAATATTAGTACTGTACATAAACTAACGTATAGACTCGTTGTCAGACATGAGAAATCTATGGAAAGGAGAAGTAACTTCGAAATTCAAAGAAGAGTGGCCTCAAGAGCAAGGAGATTACGCATTAGGCACGCGGTTTACTCGAATCATAGACGACGACGAAGGTGTTTCGAATCTGCTTAGATCGAAATCCTTCGAATTGTTACAAGACGATACTTTTCGAAACGAAAGCTTGTTGCAGACTCTGTATCTCGACGATATAACTGACGAAGCTGCATCCACCGGATCGGAGAGTTGTCAGACGCATAGCGAGAATCAGATGGTAGATATGGCATCGATCGTCGGCACGTATCAGCATGAGAGCAACGAAAATCTCGACGAATATTTCAAAGCTGTGGGTACGTTCAAAGCGGTGACTAAAAACGATTGCAACGTACCTTACGATGGAAGTAAAAATAAATACAATTTGTAACCATCGCTGGTTTCCGCGCTTTTATCCATGTACAGTAGTTCTTAGAACATTGAACATTTATACACGTTTATTGACGTCTTTAAAATTAAAAGATTTGTACACGCAGATCAAGTACATGTTAAATTTACTTGTGCGTATATTTTGTCCATTGAAAAATTTGTGATAGGTTGGTTTTCTTTAATATATGTGAATATAAATATGTATCTGCACTATCAAGAACAGCTAATAATGTGCCTTATCATAATTTGTTAATAAATATATCTCTTAAGGAAAATCCCTTTTTCCATATATCTTTAAAGCTTTCTTTAATCTGGTATTGAGTTTATAAACGATTGAATATTCTATACAAAAAACGACAGTTTTAAATTCGTGTACTTCGCCTATTGCATGAAGAGTTAATTAGATTTCAATGTTAGTCCACCGTTATCAGAGAAAAACTGAACGAGGTTTGCTTTCGATTGCGTTCGTAGGTGTGCCATACATTCCTCGGAAAATGATGAGCATGTCTAGCCCGCGATTAGAAATATCGAACGACGGTGACAAATGGACTATTTGTACAATTTCGATGTTTCGTACAGCACAATTGACGTTCACTCTTAACGAGGAATACGAGGAACACATGCCTGCTGGGGTTACACTAAAAGTACTGCTCATTTTTTAAATACTTTTCTACGCGCACCCTTGCATTCGCAAATGCACATGTTTTTCAATTGATTTGATAAATAAAATTGAGGAAGAAATGAAAAATATTTGAGTTCTGTTCTAAAATAAGATACAGTGCTTTAATGAATCCAAGAATTAGATTGGCCTGTACTACAAGATTTTGATTTGCCAAATCTGAACAAAACGAATTCAAACATCCAAAACCAAATGTCAGAGTGAAAAATACAAATTAAAAGGTGTACGATTATATGTATGATAACTACGTAGAAAAAAACTATCTGCATCCTAAACATCTGCATTTGACAGTAAATGCAATACGTGTGTACAGAGAGTCATTTGCTCGTAAAAGAAAAGGGCTGCCCTTTCATGTCACACCGTTTGTACTCTTGTGCCTCTGTCTTTTGTTTAGAATGTGACTACCATGGAAGAAGACGGTTTGGTCACAGTTTCAGTCGGACCAGATAACAATAAAGTAGTGCGGAAGTATGAAGTTACAAAGGATGGCGTGGTTTTGGTACGTCCCATTTGCATTTTCATTCACGCGCCGCATACCTACGTGCATGCAGATACATGTTACAGTTACGCTTCACGGATGCTTACAACTCTTTTTCATCTGTGTACAAAAGAAAACGAGGACAACGCCGTCACTCTTTTTATACGCAAACATAAACAAAATTTCACGTTGCTAAAAACTGAATTTAATTCGTAACATGAAAGAAATGGTTGAATCTCGGTAACCCGAATTTGTTGTTGAAAAGAGGAAAACTAAAATTAGAGTCAAGGTTTCTCAGTGAGAAACAAAAATTCTGCATATATTCACATTCGAGAATTGCAATTTGGATTATTTCGGAGTTGAATAACAGCAATTAGGCATGCATAAATAATTGAACTAGGTCTTGACAATCGCGTGGGCAAAAACGAACAAAAATTATTTTTATATAGAAATCTTCGAATCAGAAATTTCATGTTACCGAAGATATTTATGTATTACTTCATGCATATACATGTATCCACCTGTTAGGCGCATTGTACGCATGTTTTTTCAAAAACATTTATACACGCACATCACCGATTCCACGATGAAAGCTTAATTAGAACTCATTAACTCATAACAAGTTTCTAAGTAGAATCGTTAATGTTTAATGATCGTTCAAATATTTAACCGTTAAATTTGTATGTTTATATTATCCCAATAACGGTGTAACATGTTTTCTACGTATAAAAATTCAGATTGATGCAAAAATAATTGCAATTTTAAATATATTAATTGCACAAGAATGGCAGAATTATTTTCGCACGAGCTAATACAAAATTACATTGCATTTTCTATTTTCAGATAATGACCCACGAAAAGAGCGGACAAGTGGCAAAGCGCTATTTTAAGCGTCTCTCGTAAATCTCTCTTGTTACTTTTCGAACGAAAAAGCGTATTCACATTCCATTTTATATACTATTTAACGATTGAAGTTTTTACATTTCTATCCTAATGCTAACGTGTCACGATAATAACGGAAAGATTCCAGGAAGCAACTGGGAAAAGCATCGCGTATTTCGACAAAAGCTGTATGAAAATATCTCTATTCTGCGGTCTGCAATCGACAAAGAATCAATCGTAAATTTTCCCGCTGTCACTTGCAACGCATGCCATTCCTTACTTCTATTATATGTCACGTGTTATGTATGTATGTACAGAGTACAAATGACATGAGTAAATTGAAATTGTACCGTGAGATATGAGAAATAAAAAGAATAAGGCAGAGTCTGCAGTTTATATCCCAAATGCCTGCGTATCAAAATGTTTTAGCTCGCGCGTGACAATATGACATATCGCGAAAATTATAAGTTATCATTCTACTGACAATTAAATAAACTTTCGAATCCTACTGTGTTAACAACTAATATATGAAAGCCATATTAATTTTTCTTGAAATAGGAAATACAACTACAAATAGAGCGTTTATTTGTAATGTTTTTGTTGACACACGACGCCGGCTACTATAGAAGCTATCAGCGAGCGTAAATGCACCGTTCGATATTTGCCCACGCAGTGACATGCCGTGGCATAGCGTTCATTTAAAAATATAGCAAAGAGTACATTCACTTACGTTTGATTGAGGTACTGTAGAGTCACGTTGATGATTTCACCGACGATCTCAGACTTGGTCACATTGCACGAACTGACCGAGACGGGCAGCTGATCGTACGGGTTAACTCTTGCGACGAATTCGGAGAAAAAACGGCTATAAGCTCCGAGATAATCGCCGTCAGGGCAATCTTCCGCCATTCTTGATGAAAAAACCAATGTTACACACCGGCGAACACTTCCGTCAGCAATGGCACGAAGTGCACTGCGGTGGTCGACGATTCGAATAGTTTATTCAGCCGAGATGTTAATGAACAGCACGATGATGCCACAGCGTGCAGTGGCTGTGTATCTCTTTCTCGGCAAGTTTCGCGAACCAGCGCACAAGGAAACGTAAGAACAGAAGAAAGAGAAAGGAAAGTAAAAGTGCGTGTGTGCGTAGCTATCTCGTTTCGGGCGTGCGATCTGACACACAGCAGTGATTATGCTTCGGTTCCCCCGAACCTGCGTACGTAGTATTCGTTGATAGCCGATATTTGTACTTAGGTTACGTCACTCATTCAACACCGCGTACGCACGTAACACTACGAGCTCGATCGGATCGACGCGTTCGTTTTCTCTATTGTTGAGCGTCCCTCGAAAGAAGTGGGGAGGGTCTCGCCGCGATGTTTAAAACTCTGCTTCTCCCGCTTCCTCGAGTGCGAAGCGTTGCTTTTTGCCTTTCTTTTTGCCACTGACCACTTGCGGATCGACTGTACGTAACGGAGGAAAAAGTGCGTAACGGAATTCATCGAGCAGTCCACTGCGCATGTTCGACACGGAGCTATGCGTTCGAGTGTCGAGTTTGTTACTGTCGCGGTCGAATCAGTAGAGTCAGTGATGGGCACCTCGTGCAATTTTTAAATCATGCGCATTGCAAGTTGCTATCAGCGTCCTAGCGACGTACTTATTTCCTTGAATATGAAGATATTAAGCCCTGAATACGAAGACAAACCTGAGATTCAAGAAATTCATTTTGACGAATTCTCTAAGAATCGCCGATGTAGATGCAGTCCCATGCAATCCTGATGAGCAGAGCTGCGGTTCGTCTCGTTGATTAATGGGTCTAATGCATTACTTTATAATTAATATTAATCGAAATCTTTTCAAAACTGACAGCACTAATTTGTTTTTATGGTTCATATTTTACTACTGGTGCATTTAATTTTATTTTGTTCATTGTACTTTAACGTACACAATGAAATAGTACAAATTGTACAAATCATCAATTTCTTTCTATTTATTTTTAAAAATTGATATTGTTTAACATTTTTATATCAATATTAAATACTATTTTAAGATTATTTACAATAGCGAGAATGTTCAATCGTTCTTAGAGTATAGTACACGAATTTTTTGCTATTACTTCAGATTTCTCAGATTTTAATTTTTCACTTGCTATTTTTAAAAACGAGTTCTTATTCTTTTCTTCGATCCAGTCTGGCAAGGGTGTGTTCCAATTCTCTGGTGGCCTGGTTTCTCTTTTCTCCCAAACATCATTAGTATAATGACCCTGTAGTCTTATAAACCTACGAGTCCTTTCACTGTTTACCAAATCCTTCTGCAAATAGTATGATTTTTAATTAGAACTTTAAATACATTAGGCAGTACATTTCACTTTAGCTTACGTAAGCTGTCTCATTCTTATATTTGTTCCATAAATAACAGTTATCATAATCTATTTTCCACTGAGTACAATTTAAAAACTCTCCAAATACAAAATATTGATGAAAGCGTCCTCGTATACTTGTACACTCTTTATATTCTGCTTTGTACAGTTCACATGGCCTGATCTAGAATGATTAAAGTGTGTTAAAATATTGATAATTCATTAGATGATCAATTAAAAATTACTCGGTTTTCGATGTATTATACGAAAGGAAGATGAATAATTATAATACCAGCCACGTATATGGATGTTTCTCTGGAGGTTCATTTTCAGTAGTGCTTGAATCAGGCATGTTCCCCTGAGTCTCTTTGGTTAGGTAAGAGCACAAATTATTATTCTCTTCAATGCTATGAACAATTCCGGCAATTTTCGTTTATAATTACAAACTACTGATGTTCTTGCTAATCAGAATATTTTTCATTGAGCATTTTCTTTATGCAGAAAGAAAGTAAGTGAACAAATTTTGTCTATTCGGCAAATGCAGGTTACGAGCAAGCTATCGCATTGTGTAACATCGACTGTAATCATATCCCACCAGAAAATAAAGTGAGAGAGATAAATTTCGTCTTTCATTGTATTTTAAAATCTGATTGTTAACTCCATTATCGATAAAATTCCCTTAATCTTACATAGCTTTACTGAAAATTCGGGTTGTAGTGGAAAGTAGGAAATAAGTTACAACTTACGTACAGAATATATTGTATTCTTGGCATATTTATTCAAGTAAAAAAATATTTCATGTACATTCGTCTTAAAAATATAATATTTGTCCTTAGTAAAGTAAAATTAATTCCAAATCAATACATTTTTATGCTCTAAAAATGCTGTAGTAATAAAGTGAAAAGTTTTATAT